TTAAAAATTGGCATCTCTTCAACAGAACTACCAGTGATTTTTCCATAAAACACATTAAGATTCAGTATAAATGCCTTTATGGATTTCACACCACATTAAAAGCGGTGATTGATTGACTACATTCCCTTTAGCTTATTTTTCATCCTTTGACAGCTGTTAACCAGGCAGAAGCATTATTAGCTCAATTTTCATGCTGTAAAAATATTTGGGTAAAGGAATTTGGCCAATTTTTCTCTTCTTGTTTCTGGTTTCCTATCAGTGTTGGTTCGATTGTTTTGACAAATGCAGAGTGTAACTAGCACAGCATCTTAACATGAATCCTGATTTTAGAGCCAAGCTTCCAGGTTTGCTAAGGAGATTTTAAGCTTGAAGTAAAGAGACACAAGTTCTAATTACAGCACTCCTAAGCAAAGTTTTAGGGTCATCCAGGTTTAAATATGTTTTTGCTCTTCATAAAGGTAAAAGCTGCTTGTGGAACGTGGGCTGTCTGGTTCAAAAGTAGGATCTCCCTGCCATGGTCAATAGATGGCATATGAAAAATAGCTATGGAATGCTGGTGCTAAGTTGAATCTTTTTTCCTTTGTGTAGACTGCAGACGGGAGAATATCCTCCCTGTTCATCAATCTCTTCAGTCTTCATTACTAACTGTGTGACTAAACTTCAGTACTATCTGGCTGTCTTCTGGAATTAGAAGTCTCCTAAAGCAAACTCCTTTGCAATTAAGTGTCAAAGTTGTTAAAGTGTAAAGTATGGCAATAAAAAATTTCCCAGATGCCTTAATAGCTCTGACAGATTTGATAGAGCCTGCTGCAGCCCCCCGGGAATTTACACTACACCGGCATTGTTCATCATTTCAAGCAAAACCATTGTGCAAAGTCAGCAAGGTGACTGGTAAACAGAACCCAGTCCTACTCTCAGTCAGTCAGGGGCAATGCAAGACAGCACCTGTGAAGTCAGTGAGTTGCTCCACATTTAATTCAGAGGAGCCAACAGCACAGCCTGAGCATTTCTGAGGTGTGCCCATGTTAGAAACAGTGCTGCTTCCCTCCTGTGGGCTCTGGGCTCCATCACCCCTGCGATGGGAAACTGAGGAGCTTGGTGAATCCCAGCTGTGCCTGAAAGAATTTCTTGTGTAGTGAGAAGCAAACACCTGAACCCTTCTCAGCGTGCTCGTCTGAGTGTGAATTACAGGAGCTTGTAAAACATACAAAGCGAGAAAGTTTTTGACCCAACGTACAAGCAATTTTAACACCTACTTTCCTGGAATATGGTTATTTTCCAATCAAGGCTGAGTTTTGAAATGTAAACGTTACTGGTCATTGCTAAAGTAAGGTCTGTTTTTCAAACATTAAAGTCCCTTTCCTTTTTAAACAGGCACATTGGCAATAGGCGTATTGCAGGAGTATAAAGCGTTCCCTGGTGAGCAGCATAAAATAGCCACTGCAACTCCAGTCTGCAGTATTAGCAATCTTAAACAATACTAAGTACTCATTTCTTCTTCCAACCAAATATTTATGATTTTATACACAGATATATAATAAGTAAGCTAGAGGTAGAGAAAATGCGCATTTACTTTCCCCTCAGTTTAGAGACAAAGTAAGCTTATATAATTCAGGTGTTTGCTTTCCACATCACAAGAAGAACAGGAGTGTCAATAAGGAAGTGCTTCCTGTAGCTATAAATCCTGGAGATGCCTTGAAAATGAGCAAACTACTAGTCAAGGAGAAAACAAACCTGCCATGTCCATCTCAATCATAAAGAATATGTTACAGTGCAGAGCATTCACATTTCCATTTGCTGGATCAGAAAAGGGGTCCTGTTTGTCCAGGAGTTTCAAAAAGCAACATCTTGAACTCTGAGCCTTCCCTTTTGTCCAAAGGCTTTCCACCAGGCTCCAGTACGTGTGGGATGTAGCTACATCAGGCAGGACAAGCGTCCCCATATGATCACCTAATGAGTGAGCCCTAAGCAGAAAGCGAGGTAGCAGCATTAGTGCACTAAGCCGGGCATAACTGGCTCATGCAAAGCCAGGCTAAATTAACCCCAGAGCAGCACTGCACGAAGATGACGGCCCTGCGGCCAGGACCTACGAGGGTGCCTGTGCCCACCACACCACTGGTGCCTGTATGGCTTTTGCCAGGAGCTGGCTGTGATGCCTCACACCATGCATGTGTCTCCCTTCCCTCCCTGCATGACTCTGTTTCTTCTTTGCATCTGCCCCAACCAACCAGGAGTAGTGGACCAGGTCACCACTGACAAGCTGCACACATGAGACATAGCCCCCATTATTCACATGAATTAAGACAGAAACCTACTTCTGTTTTCCTAGGCTTATTCATATAATTAATTGATATCTCAATCCAGGAACAGACAAAGATATAGCAGCATTTCAGTGCATTCCTTGGGGAAACAGTACACAGAGACAGCACAATTAATTTAGATAATATCTATTTAGATGGCAAGTTAATTTTAGTGCATAGAACCAGACAGGAGAACCATTTTTTGGAAAACACGTGAGAGAGTCAAATTTTCTTTCCCTTTACCTGTCGGCAACCATCCATCAAACATGTTTTTGTTTGATGGCAAAGACATGCAGAAAGCACAGCAAAACCTCTGCTGAATTTCTGCACATTTCTGGGGCATTTGTCCCCCAGCTCATTTTCACATGGAAAGTGTAGCAAAGCCTGAAACAACACAATGTCTGGCTTAGCTATATTGAAATCAGTTGTCTTATGTCTTGTCAGCATCAGAAATACAGCTTCCCAGAGCTAAGTCAATTAATTAATTAAATATTCTGTGTGTGCCTTGCAATGATGGGGGGAAGAAAAGTGGCAAATAATCCTCATCCAATTCATAAGCAAACTAGGTTACTGTAAAGTTGTCCTTGCCACCAAGTGCCAAAGTGCAGCATGTAGTTCTCACCTCCTTGTGGGTTGCCATCTGCCATTACATCTCCCTCTCCTTCCTCCATCTCCCTGTTGGGGTAAGGTTGGACCATCAGGGGTTTTGGCAGGTGGTGTTGAAAATCCCTCAGCACTGTGAGTTTCCTACAGGCCAGTGCAGTCTGCTGCTAATATTGCTTTAGACTCTGCCTGCAGGAGATGAAGTTACACAGACTCTGTGCTGCTCTTGGGCTCAACCCCAAATCACTGTAAAAGAAGTGCACTGGAGAGCCTCTGTTCAGGCCTGGAGGCTGGAATTTGCAGTGAAGTGTTCTGCATCCTCACACAGGACTGCAACAGCCAGTGACTATGCCATGTTGTAGTGCAGCAGGGCTTTTAAAGCTTGAACAATGCATCTTTGGGCGTTTAAAAATTGCTTCCAGGGTTGGTTTTCAACACCTGCATCTCTTAACAGCTCACGGGAGTCTCTGTTTTGCAGTGTGAAATTCTGCTTGTGTTTGCACAGGTCATTATTCCCAAGCACAGATTAGGCTCCACTCCAGGAGAATTTCACTTGGAAATGATAAAGTAAAATGGGATCCACTGATTGCCATGCAACAACCAACAAATCAGGCAGTGAGAAAATATCTGCTTTCTGCCTCAACAGTTCACTTGGATCCCAGGCTGCTTTTGCAGCACACAATAAAAGAAAGTCCCAAGCGTTATTGACCAAGATCATGCATCCTCTGAAGCACAAAGCAGATTTTAGTAACCGTTTTCTGCTACAGCTGGCCCCAGCTATGAAGTTTATACAAGAGTAAAAGTCACAGACCACAAACAAAGAAGATGCCTCTGTCTGCTCAGGAAATCTCTCCTGTAGCCATTTCAAACCCTCTTTACATCCAGATGGGTATTTGCATTGCTGGCTTTTTAGGAAAATGAAGCAGGACACAGTGTAAGCTTACTAGTTCATGAAGTGTTACTTATAATTTATTTTTATGCTTATGCAAGACAGAGCTTGAACCTTTGGGGCAAGATCTGTTCCGTGAAGACTGTGACATTCACATCAAATGTGCGGCCTGAATATTGGGCAAAGGGGACGTTCAAGAGAGGATTTTTTCATACGTGTGGCTCCGTATCTGCCATCATTTCATTCGCACATCACATTACAACATTGGGAAATGAAGTCTAATGAGTTTTTAGGCACCTCCTGCTACAACCTAGATTTTATTCTATTTTAAGTTTTTAAAAATGTAACTTTAAATGAAATAGCCATGTCTGGCTCTTTGGAGTTAAGTAAGCAATTAATAGAAACCAGTGCAATCTAAGCACCCTGACTCACGTTCCCCGAGGCGAATAGCTTAGGATGCTCTATTTGCAGATCCTCTCACAGCAGTGTCAGCATTAAAATGTTTGCACCTCAGCCACTGCAATGCCAGAGCAGACATGCATTGTAAATTCATTTTCATCAGAGGTTTAAACCGGTATGGCCGCACCAGACTCTGAACAAGCGTCTCCTCCTTCCAGCAACTCTACAGAAGTGTTATTTCTAGGCACTGGGCAAGGCTGACATCTGAGGACCACAGGCCTGGATTTTCTAGAGCTTCTCTTTAGGTGCTGTGCAGCCAGTGGACACAGGACTGGGTGTCATCATCCATGGCAGGACGTTTCTCCAGGTACAGGCTTGGTACTTCTGGCAGAGCAGGAGTTAGCAAAGGAAGGGCAGTTCTTAGTCTGAAGTCCACAGAATAACTGTCAAGTTTTTCCACACAAAAGGTGGAACTTTGCCCCATCAGTGCCCTGAAAGGGAATATTCTTGCATCAACCTTCCCACAAAAGTGACATTTTTATGTGAGGTGTGAAAAGATTTCACACTAAGATAAATTAACAATTACCTGCCATGTGATACAACAGCATTCTCCTTTCAGAGTCATTCATGCAGTTTTACCCTGGGCAACGTATATAGATCGATCTGTCCCGTAGCCATAACACTTCACACAAATCTGCTACGCATTCAGCTCTAATACCCTTCACATGGGGTTACTGGTTCAGCTTGTATCTATTGCTTAATCAATGAGAAATAAAACTCCATTCTCTCCCAGACTGCTGCTTCAGCTAATAAAGGCTTGGTCTGCTTTGCCTGAGTATCCTAATTAATAATAATGAAATACTGTAAGTAGAGCTGATATATTTGGAAGTCTTTTTTTTTCTTTTCTTCTTCTTTTGCCAGAATGGGAACTCAGTAATGCCTGGAGTTTTATTTGTCACTGAATTACTCTTTAATTGGAACTGATTGCCTGAGCTGCTGTTTGTAACTGCAGCACTCTCTCTACTCAGTTGAGGGGGAAACCTTTAACATCCCCACCAACAGGGCTGCAATGTTTGCTGTGACAGACTGCAAGATACTGAAATCCATCCCTGGGTAGAGAGAGATTTAATATGCATCGTTTTGTCCTAGTGGGTTAGAAAAACCTACTGACTGGTGGTGTCGCATCATCTCTAGACTGATAATAGCAGCAGGCTTGGTTTGTGCTGGTAGCAGGCTGTAAAGGGATGAGCAGCAGTCTTATAAACACAATGTCAAGTAACATATATCAGCAATTTGCTGTGTATTTGTTTCCTGTACCTCTGCCCCATGGAGGGCACTGACCTTAACACAAAATAATAAGGTTAACAGAGACAGTTTGGGAAATCTTCTCCAAACCTGCTAGATTCCCATCTCCTGAGGGCCTGAAGATTAAATGGCTACTGGAGAGCCAGAAAAGCTGGAGGTTTGTTGAAATAGGTAAGTATACTTCTACTTGCCATGCTAGCAATGGTTTATAAATGAGTTTCCAGAAGGGGTTAAATAGAAAGAACTGCAGTGACACAGATGTAAGGGCTCCTGCAGAAACACTGCTCAGTGGCTGAGGGGAACAGATTGATCTCCCAAGAAGCCAGTGGTGAAAAGATCTTACATTACTTTATGTTTCTATGGTTTGAAAATACGCAGGAAGATATAATACCTTATGACAAAAACCAATTACCCAGAGTAACGCCTTTGATGGTTATAGTGTAGGAAGGATGTTCATGAGAATTTTCCTGTATCAGTATTTAGAGCATTTTTTCCTGTTGCCTTTTAGAGGAATCTGCGGTGTGTAAAATGTGCATCGTTTTTTAAAAGCCTGGTAAGATCCTTTCTAATTGGTAGCTGAATGATATCCTTTGTAATGTGGTATGCAAACGTTAGGACACTTCATGTGATTTCCAGTCATGCTCATTTGAAATACTTTATTCAGGAATGCTTGTTTTGTCCTCTGCAGAGGTCTGCTGTTGCCTTGTTGAAGTAGCTGCTGCACTCTAATTTGGGCAAGGCCTGGATCTCAATGCAAGGTTTGCAGGAAAAAAACAAAGATGGAGTACTTAGGAAAACTGCATACATTGCATATATGCAGGTCATTTTGTTTCTCTTCTTTTTTTTTGTCTCTTCCATGCTATTTTGGCCATAGGATAGTTCAGTTCTCCTTTTTTTTTCTCCAAATCAGCTAAGTAGCTTTAGTATCAAGTCTTCTTTGGGGCTGGATTAGGATTTACCAGAAAAGTAAGAAACCAAATAAAATTTTCAGTGCAGCAACAAAGTTTAAAGGTTTTCATGGTTATATATCAAAGGAGAGGATTATAGGTAAATCTTGAGTTAAGGTGATTATGCACGGCTCAGGTAGCAGCCACACCTGAAATTATGAGCTGTTCCAATTCACACAGTGTAAAAATCTGTGCACCCATAAAAAGAACCCTCAAATATGGTCCAGGGCAACAAAAATATTTTAGACCGGTGTGCTGGCTTTGGCTGGGACAGAGTTAATTTTGTCCTTAGTAGCTGCTATGGGGCTGTGTTTTGGATTTGTGCTGGAAACAGTGCTGATAATTCAGGAATGGTTTTGTTATTGCTGAGCAGTGCTTACACAGTCAAGTTCTTTTCTGCCCCTCACACCACCCCATCAGTGAGCAGGCTGGGGGTGCACAAGAAGTTGAGAGGGGACATGAGCTGGGACAGCTGATCCCGACTGACCACAGGGATATTCATAGAATCATAGAACATGTGGAGAATGTATAAGGCAAATTTTGTATTGTTTAACATAGTGCAAACTCAAGGGAGAAACGTCATGGTTTATAAATACTATGAAGCCAACAGCATAAATGAAAGAAGGGAATTACTTAGTCTCAGAAAATAGCAGGTCAAGAAGAAATGGCCTCAAGCTAAGAACAGGAAAGCTTAGATTACAAAAAGCTCTTCATGGAGCAATTAGATGGCCATATATGTACCTAGAAAAGGTTGGGAAAGACGTGTTTCACTTTTTAAAAAGCTCCCATTAGAGTAAATGTGTCAGAGCAAACCCCATTGAAAATAGACGGCACTAGCACAGAAAGGGTCTTGCTCTTGGTTCACTGAATTAGTAAAGTCAGCTAACTGGGACTCTCTCTGGTGCCCATGTTACCCTGTACCTGATATATTACGTCTTTTGCAAAGTAGGTAGAAAAATATTAATATGCAGTCAGAATAAAACACCACTGTTCTGGCTGCAGTGAGCTTCACACTTATTTTACTATGTTGTCAATTTCTGCATCTAGCAGTATCAAATCCACTTCTCTTGCTGTAAATATTTAAGTACAGTTTAAAGAAATCAGAAATATGATGTCTTTCTCAGAAGGCAAGACTGTCCTTTAAATATGTGGGACAGGACTGAGTGACCTCAGTTCTGACAGTGCTGTCTATTCTTTTAAGGACCTAATTCCCAGTGAAGTCTGTAAGAATAATGTTTTACCCCTTCTATGCTTTTTATGGATCATATGTCAAAAGGATATGATGCCATAAGCATATCATGTGGTTTACTTTGGGGTTTGATGTTGGTTTGTTTTATGGGGTTTTGTTGTTGTTTTATTCTTTCATGAATATCTGCAATGTAATCAGTAAAGTCAATGGTACTCTGGAAGCAGGATATACGGTCTCATCTAAGTATCTTTACTCAGCAATGGAATAAAGGATTGGACTGGCTTTCCAGTTGTTAATTTGTTTTCTCCACATAGGCAGCTGTTCTCTTTGCAACAGCACTTCAAATATTACACATTTAAATGGTTACTCTGTTAGAGCTTATTTTATTTTTCAGCGAAAAAGCAGTGGATGTTCTTTCCTTGGAAAAAAAGAAAAAGGTTAAAATGTGATTTTAAGATGAAAACCATATTTCTTGTCATAACAAAATAATTTCTTTTCATAGCAAAATAGCTTGACTCAAGTCAAGCTCTGGGTTCAAACTAATTGGTGATATTTCTTCAAATTAGTTATGGATTGTCACAGTCAAAATCAGTTTCTTTACATTAGCATGACATTTTCCATCCCTTAAGTTCTCATGGAAACATATGTAAATTTGATGGCAGTGTTTTTCAGGAAACCTGTAAAATACATGTCTGAAATGTGGAGATAGTCTTAAACTATGGTTTTCTGAATTAGAGAATAAAACATGCAACATTAAGCCATTTCAAGTTAGCAATGCCAGTTGCTGTAACTCATCTCTTAAATGTCTCAGAACTGGGAGTGATTGATGAACCTAATTGGCTCCAAAAAACTCCCAAAGGCTTTTTCAAGCAAAAGAAATAAAACTCACAACTGTGCCTACTGTACTATATTTGTGAAAAGTAAGTATATCTAGAGTTCCTTCTGCTCTGAAATGTTCCTGGGGATCTTATTCTACAGATGGAAACATAACATACCTGACACTGAACTTTACTTCAAATTTATGCTGATGTAAACAAAATCTGGAGGATCTCTTCAGCATATGAAACCCATAATAAAGCCTTAAGGAAGCCCTTCCTCCCATATAACTTATTTGGGCAAATGACAGCTCAGATCAATCAGTGTATTGTTCTAATAAATAATTTCTTAATTGCACCCATTAAAAATCATTATGACTTTACAACATTATATGAAAGATTGAAAGGTAATACATATTTCAGTCACGTAGAGTTCAAAAATAAGAACATCCTAAGGACACTGTGAGCATCCATCAGCTGTGTGAAGAAAGATAAACGATGGCATGTAACATTATCCACTTAAGTGCCATGACGCTATCTGTAAACTAATGAGAATTCATTACAAAGATACTAGAGAAAATCAGATTACCTTGGATTTATGGCAAGGTAAATCTGGTTTTGCTTATTGTCTGTTTGTTTGTTTTCAAAGTTCTTACAAATGAGCAGCCATTATCTTCTTTATTGTGATTTTATGGTTTTCCCCTCTCTGTGAATTGGAAAAGATTAGTATTAGAAACCTGATTCAGATTCAATCCAGTGTATCGATCTGCTTTTTGAAGCAGCTGAGTCTGAAGCAGGGATGTTTTATCTGTGTTCTCACACAAGCTTTAGCAAGCATCAGCTGGTCACACAGAGATTTTCAAGTGACCACTGACTATCTATTTCCTTTAACATGTATGATTTTTTCAAGTGTTTAGCACCAACGGTCTGAAAATTATAAAGAAGGCCTGGAAGAGACTGTGGTAGGGGACATGTACAACTGGGACAACCAGCAACAATAGTCTGGGGAAGAATAGGAGGAAAATGTATGGCATCTATGGAAGAGGTGCAAACAAAGTGAGTTGAATCCACTGTGAGATGCCATGTGGTACCAGCATTTCCTAGAGTATCCAATCCATGCAGCAACATTTTTCACACCATGTTAAATAACAAGTAAGTAGTTTTGTAGTAAAAATTCTAACTCTCCATTTGATCAGATGTTGGAATGTACCAATACACGTATAATGTAAGGATACAGAAGAAAGCATGTGAGTGAAGAGGGGAGGGGTAGAGAAAGGTATTTGTATCTTCTTCCTGCCCCCTCAGGGTTCACACCTTTATATTAATCATTGGTGTGAAATATTAATTTCTTTTGAGAGTGACTTGCTGAACTCTGCAGATTGTTTTGATGGCTCAGGCCAGGAACAGGAATGTGATGTCCTCTGAGGCAGGTCACTACATGTGTTTCTATGAGAAATTGGGAACCTACAGAGAACTTTTGAAGTCAGAAAGCCTGACAGCTGACCCTTGTGCTGGTGAGGCATATGTAGGTCATGTGTTCGTACAGGAGCTCTTTGCCCTTGTTAGTGTTCTACCACCTAAATGCTAGAAGGTATCCATCAAGGTCTATCAGAGTAACCTCGTTTTAGTAGTCCCTGCTGATGCACAGTTAAGATCTTTAAAGCAATGCTGTTAAATTGCAGCAGTTAAATTGGCAGCTGCTATAAATTGTATCTAAGTTGGGCTGGATCAGTAAGATCCAAAGTCTCTTTGTATTCTGCTCTTTCTAACACCAAGAAAAGGCTCTAATACTTGTTATTATTCTTCTGTCTTAAATAAAGATATCATGGCACAGAGAAATCAGACCTTATCTCTTCCATGTAAAAGATGGAAACATTACCCATAGCACACTTATCCAGTCAGGTCTAAGCCTGTACATGTTTCCTGCTTGGTTATGACTGGAGTCAATCCTCACATCTCCACTTCTTAGTGAGGTGTCTTGTTCAGAAAGAGGATGGCTCAGCAGTTCAAGTCCTCACTGGTGAACAGAAATTTTGATGTTCCCTGCTAAGGTTTGTTGTACATGAGGAATAAATTCTCTTGATTGTAATATTCTGGCGAGTACTTTTTGGAGATTGATTAAATGTTTCAGCTTTGCTCAGTCTATTAATCTCAGCAGCCATTTATTGCTTCGTATACTACAGTGCATTGGGGATTATCCCTTAAGCACTGTGTGTAGAAAGCATGTAGCAGCAGGATACAAATCTTGTGTCTTGGAAATGCTTCTCTGGAAATGAAGAACAGGAGCTGTCAGTAAAAGCCAGGATAGTTTATGCTAGCGCTGAATGCCTCAACCTTTTGTCATCAGTACTGCAAGCTCCCATTTCCTACATCAAATAAGTGATACTAACTCTCTGATGTAAATTAGTGTACCACTGCTGCTACACTCTTACTTTTCTGTTGATTCCTGGTGATATCTGAGCCAGTGGGATGGGGACTTAAAGCACTGCAAACTTCTTAGAATAGTATCTTCAATTGCTGTTGTCTATTGGCCAGACTGTTCAGCCTCTTAATCCAGTGAACTGTTACCTCCACCTACAAATGTTGCAGGTATTATTATTCTGCATATTAAGCATATACTTAAAGACAATCTGTGCATCCTAGAGGACTACACAAACATATATCAGCTATGTTACCGCTAAGGCTACCAACATGAATAAACCAGGCCCTGAGAAGTCTCTTACTATATACTGAGTCTTTAGCTATTATTTTTTTCGTTTTGTCTTGTGAAAATTGGTGCTTCGCCAACAACATTAACTAATACCTGTAACATCCCTTACAGGCATCAGGCTTAACCATCGTAGTTTTAAATAAACGGAAAACTGAAAACTAAAAAGTGAAACAAAGTTCAGGGATCTCATGGGAGTCCCCAGCTCTCTCATGCAAAGTTTCTCAGACTAGAGAAAGTGAAGGATGAGTGGAAGTAAAAGCAGTAAGAGCAAAGAAAGGAACATATAAAAGTGCTAGAGAAAGAAAGGGAGTTTCAATCTGACAGCCTCCAGATAACAAAGCACAGTCTGGGCATAACAGGAAGGGCAACTGGTGGCTATGGAGATAGTGTGGCAGTACATGGGCATTATTACTACTGTAAAGAATAGTCACTCAAAGTTGTCATCTCTTTGCCTCTCCTTCCCTCTGGCATCTCAAAGCTGAGATAGATCATAAAACTTTGCAGGCACAGATCCTACCAGTCCCCATCATGCAAAGCTCCTCTCACATAGTAGGTTATTTAAAGCTTTAGGGCTTAAGGGTTTCCTTAACCATGAGTGCAGAGGGATAAGAAGGAAAATGCTAATAGCATTCCTCTTCAGACTAGTAACCATACTGGAAAACTTTTTGGTTTGGGTCTGTTGGTTTGTTGGGTTTTGGTTGTGTTTATTTTCCTTTCCTTTATTAGGGAAAATGGATAATAGTTTATGTATATTCAATCACAGTCTTTCCCAAACAGATTGACATTGCTGTTGCCATCAGACAACAAATATATTCCTTTTGTTTCTACATTCAGTGGGTTGGTAGGAAGACAAACAGTATGTGCTGAAAACGGGGAACAGCATTTTTGCAGAGCTGTCTCTAACTTCCAATGGCTGGACGACCCTCCTCATAGTCAGAGAAGACACCTCTTCATGGCAGCATGCCCCACAGCCACAGTGGTCCATTCAGTGTCATTCTCCTTGTAATTAAGAAGTTACCAGATATTGTGAGTTTCCCATGGGCTTATTTCCAGGAAAATACCCTTTGAGAGTCTGAAGTCATTCAGCCACCCCTGGTTTCCCAGTTCTCCTGCAAAATCCTCTCCAATCAACCTCCACTTCAGCCTCTACAAGGTAAATTAGTAGGAACTAAGATAATAAATGTATTTAGCAGACGAAGCCAAAGTATGGCACACTGGGGAAAGGTTGAGATGCTTATTAGAAATGGAATTTTTGAGTTACCAGCATATTAGGGTCTTTTACAAAGTGAGTGAACATATAAATGTTTTTTTTTTTGTCTAGTATATTTTGATTGCCAAGGTTTCAAGAAGCTTCTCAAATAAACTAAACCTTTTGAGAAAAGAGAATGTATAACTAATAAACTGTCACACCACACAACTGCCCCCCCCCCAGTAATTAAAAGGTGGGAAATAAAAGACAGGAATAAATGGCCAGGTTTTGCAGCAGAGGTTGGTTACCAGATACTACTGTGGAAATCCATGCTGCAGCTTCTGCTGTACCAGATGCAAGAGGGTAGAGAGTGAAGTGGCAATGTTTGCAGATGGCACAGATATTCAGAGTAAAGCTGAATGGGAAGATGTGCAAAAGAGATTCTTGTTGTATTTTATTAATTGGTGACAAAATAGCAGATGAAACTCAGTGTGAATACGTACCATGTAACACAGATGGGAATAATATGAACTATACATACATAGTATTAGGACATAAATTAGGTATTACCGCTCAGGAAAGTGGTCTTGGAGCAATATTTGGTCATCAAAAAAAACCCAAATTGCATATATTTAGCATTGTTAGAAAAGGAGTAGAGGAAAATAACAATAAAAAATTATCATACCCCTGTAAAAATCTACCATGAATTCCCATCTTGAATACAACAGAGATTTCTGATCACACACTTTCACAAAGAGCACAGCAAGGAAGGAGAAAGCTGTCAGAACAATAATTGCATAGAGTGGCTCCCATATGATGGCAGACTAAATGTTGTGGGAATCTTCAGCTTCCAAACACTTTGTGAAAGGTGAGCAGGAACAACCTTCCATTACTTTTCACAATTCAATAGTCAAAGGGCTTCAGGGCTGTAATTTTAAATCAAGAAAATGAAGAGGGTTTTTTCCATTCAGGACTGAATGATGAACCTGAATGGGACAGGATATTGTGCAGGTTGAAAGCATAAACAATTTTAAAAAGGAATTACAAAGTTAATGCAAAATAGACCTATTGATATTATTAAGCAAGATAGTCTGACTACAGTCTCCCTAAGAGAAGAAATTCCTTATAAGGCCTTTTTCAACATATGTGCCCTATTTCAACATTTTAGATGCACAGCACTGAGCTAGCCAGCCCTTTGACCTGACCTACTCCACAGAAGTGCTTCTGCTCTTGCATTCCCTGAACCTGGGAAGAGCCATACCCAATGTGAAGTTTTTCAGAGGTGAGTGACACTTCTTAACTCTGACTTCTTAGCCTGCTTTTATGGAGATTTCCCCAGTGCAGGTCTCTAGAAGGCTTGAGTCAAGACTGAAACAGAACAGTTGAACCTGGGGTCAGAGGGGTAGCTCAGAGAAACTTCGAGGTCCCTTCCAGACCTTTGATTTGGTAAGTTCTGCTGCAGATAAACTAGGAAATGCTGTCGTTGTCTTCTGACTGCTCAAGAACTGGGTACCCAGAAGAATGTCTTGTATCTATCCACATCAATCACTACTTTGTCCTGAGCCACAAGTTCAGAGTCAGACAGCAGTGAACTTCTGGGGCAAAAGACATATCGTAGGCTTTTTACGCTTATGTGAGAGGATATGGAAAATGCAGATTTATAGTGACCAACAGCAACATATGCTGCTAATTCCAAATCCCAAACTGCGCTGTGTTTCCCATCATCCCCAAGGAGCATGAAATCCTAGTTCAAAGCACTGGGAAAGTGCATTGAATGAAATCACCACCACAATGAAACAAGGACTTACTGAAAGATAAAAGCCCAGTGCTTCTTTATCTCTACATATTCCAGATAAGATAATACGAAACAGTTAAAGAGAAGCATCCCATTTCAGTGGAAATCCTCTCATGTGAAGAGGTTCTGAGAGTGAAATTAACCTGTGGGATTTAATTTAAATATTTTCCCTTGTCAGTCAGTCTCCCATGAAGCTTAGGGCCATCTAATTGCCTTTATTATTTTCATCCAATTAGTTTAATATTGTAGAGGCAAACAGAGATCCACATTAAAAATGTGTGCCAGGACTGTACAAAGCCAAGGTCTATACTGTACTAAAATTTATGTTAGGAAGACATGAGGCAGAGGTTTTCATCCAGGATGGCAATCTAATCCAATTTGCAAAGACAGATCATACTACAGAAAAAGGGGACAGGCTAGAAAAGAGCCACCAAATTACTTTGGGGGAGTTTCTAAATATTCTGTGGGAATGAAGTGATTAATGGTCTCTATTTCTCCTCATATCTCAGTAGACCTCATGGTTGATAATTACATTTTGTTCTTCATTAAAATGGCACCCAGTTGCTAAAATCTTTGCTGGGTTAATGGGTCACACAGTCAACATTTGGTGGGATTAATCGATTTGCTGTCAGGTGGAAACCTCCAGCACAGGAATAGCGGTGTCTCGGTGAAGAGAGTCGTCTGCAAAGAGAGTGTGGCTCAGTATTGTGTGTAAATCTTGTGGCCTCTGAAAGATACAACAGCAGCACACTGTCTTCATTTAGGTAAGAAGGTGTTCAGGAGCAAGCAAGCATGACCAAAATGATGCATTGTGTTCATGCACAAACTGGACAAATCCCTGACAAACTGTGCATGCACAAGGGTAAGATTCCCAGAGTCTTCTGTGAGATCAGCTTTTCCTGCCAAGTCTGTTGCTTGTGGTTATTCATGATTTGTCAGCAGTGTTTATTCAATTATAATAACACTGGAGTGGGTGAGGAAAGGTACATTTTGCAATCTACCTGTGTTCAATAATTAACGTTCATATTTAAGCAGGTAATTAAGTAGGTCTTTCAATCAGTTTTGCAAGTTTCTTTGAGCTCTGATGCTTTAAAGGGTACCTCACTTGCATTAGCCTACTGAAGACTCTGATAGTTATATCTTTATAAAGAGATCACAGAGCGATGTGACTTCACAAATGTTCCCATGTAGCTCAACTCATTCAAGTAATCCACACTAAAGTTTTATCTCGGTGTTAGTATGATTCTAAGAAGAAGTGGACTAGCTTAGGCCTAACATTACTGCAGCCTGTTATTTCTTCCCTTTTCCTATTACTTAATTTGTAATTCATACTGGGTAGTAACCAAAGTGCCTGCTGGGAGACTTTTTAAGCAGGTTTCCTTTGCAGGCCATTTGCTTTCTTATAACTGAACAAGGTGGGGCTGAATCTGACAGTCTTAAAAGGCTTTTTGTAAGAATGAGACACCACCCCATGTTTAGGGCTGTGATTGCTTTACAAAAGACAACTCACTTTGCCAAACATTGGAAAAGTCTACTTGTTTTCTTGAAATACAGTTATCCCTGGGGTTCTAGAAGTGGTAGTGGTGAAAAGGCAAAATGAAGCTGAAATCACTGATATTATTTTTATCAATGGATCAGCTGACATAAACAGTCACAGCCTTATTTTACTATGTCAGAGTATTGAAACTACTGTACCCAAATTCTGTTGTGATTCCTGGTGGGTTGTGATGTACGTATTTGTTAAGGTTACTCAATCTGTTAGCTGTCTGTAAGGCTCTGGTTCCAAGTTATTATTACTACAGCACTTGGGAAAAGAAAGCTGATTGGGATCAGCAAGGGAATTACATTTCTGCCCAGTTAGCTGGCGGACCCAAAACATGATTCACACTGACAATGCTTTATACTGTTTCTCTGTGTTATTCCTCACACAGTACCAGGGCTGAGAGGACAGTAAATATGTGATCTGGCATACAGTCTGCACAAAGTTAATCCCTTCAGAATTTCTAGAACAAATCTGAAGCAGTCAGGTGAGTTGTACAACTTCAGTGCCTTCCATCATCCAGTTGCGGCACTTCAATTCCCCGCTGCTAGGGGCCTAAAGCCTCGCACGCTTTCCCTTGGAACCACAACTTAGGAAAATTAGTCTCCAGTTCTTTAAAATTCATCTGCTTTGCTATTAAACTGATACACTGTAATGTCTTATCCTGTTGTGTATAATCTCTCTTCTTGAGAGCAGCTCAGCTGATGCAGCAGGGAGGCTGCCCAGCAGTGGGTTGTCCATGCTGTCACTATGAAATACAAGATGTGTGTCCTCCCTGACCCACTGCCGCTGGTCCTAATGCTGGCTGTCATGTATGCGTGAACAATATGAGAGTTCACAGTTAAGCATGGCCTTGTGAATAACATAAGGCCACTGCTGATGGTGATAATTTTCTCCCAGTAGAAGCAAAACTGTGTACCATAGGTCTGGTATCTCGAGTGCTACGTCTCTGTGAGATATGAAAGTATCAGGGGTTGTTTTATAAGTTTTAGTGAACAGGTTTAAACATCAGCTAAATGGTGTCTTCTCCACACAAGAAGCAGTAGTCCCCACAGAACGCAGCCTCACCTATTTAATCTGTCCCAAACTTTTTAGGAAAATGAACCCAGATCCAGCTGAAAGGTGGTCACACAGTTTACTCACAGTTACTTCCTCCCTTTCCACTAAATCGGATTCTCTCTTTATTTCTTTCCACTGTAAAAAACACATGGCATAATTCTGGTACTAGTTTAAGGTCCTGTGAACACCTGAGGGCTATAATTAAATGTATGTTTTATTATCTCAGAAATATGCATGGGTTAGCGGACAATTTTTCATGTACATGTGTTTTTTCGTTCTACTGTTGCTATTTCCCAAGGGTTTTGTTGACATTATTTGCTGATTGTACTTTGAGGCCTGCTTTTAACACTATTACATGGCCAGCAGAAGTCCCAGGAAAAGTCCAGAGAAGATTTTCCTGTAAGTGATCTCACTGCTGCACAAACACCCAAATGGTATCACCTCAGGAGCACAGATGCCACAGTGTAAGACCTTTAACAATCTATATACTAACCTTTGACATCTACACCTATGCTGCCAACTCTTCATCAACCAGGTACAGTGTGGTTAAGAAACTTCAGAAAATTTAATAATCCAACCCCTATGTCTTTGATAACACTGAAGACAATACTGCTGCTTCCAACTCTAACCTTCATTATAGCAGGTCCAGTTCAGCTATCTAGGCAACATCTCCCCTCCTTTTTCCAGAGTAATGTATTAGCTCTCACAGCAGGGCAAATGAATAAAACCAGCTTGGATCTAGAATAAGGATACCCATCCTTGCATGGGTCTCCAGCAGAGCCAACAAGCCCCATGGCAGCTGGCATGAACACTTGAATGGCTGTGGCAGGCACAGCTACATTCTAACAAAGTTTATTTCCTTGGCCCCAGCACTGCATCAACATGGACACTAGCATTCTAGAGAGAAGCTGGCTCTAGATGCAATCTAGTCATGCGTATGTTTATCCCTGCTTTTGCACTAATGAACACTACAAAAACAGCAAAGAAAGAATAGAGGGGTCTTGGAACACAGGACTTGGAAAATTGAGTAATCTAGGAAGGCAGAGTTGAGAGCTGGCAGTAAATGAAGAGCTTCAAGGTGCAATTTCGAGAGGGACTCATTGAGTGGAAGTCCAAAATTCCAGGTGTGATTTCACATTAGAGAAAAACACCATTTGAAAGGAAAAGAAAGAAAGGGTCAGAAAGTAGATACATTGACCTCTTAGAAATACAATCAGGAGAGTGTGGGAGGAGTACACAGGGGCTCTTCTTCTCATATCAATCTTGTATCTTCTGTCTCTTGCCTGCCAGAAGATATGAAAAGGTTAAAGTGCTGCTATCAAGGAAGAAACATTTTATGCATTTGCTTTCCATCCTGTTCCCTGCTATGAAACATCCTGCTTAATTTGTTGTCGCTAATTCCTTAATGTGTCATTATTATTTGACTTTTATTTTGTATTCTGTCATTTCTGTTTAATTCTCAGAAAAACAGTCTATGACTGGCAGTTGACTGTTACACAACTTTATGGCTGGAATGATAATTTGAGCAAAATCTGACTTTGGAGAAAATTCTTCCCAAAAGAAAGAAAGAAAAAAAAGGACAATATTCACTATAATTTGTCACTGGACTGATACAGGGCTCAACAAAATAAATGCACTGCATACTAAGTGTGGCACTAGTTGCTGGGCAATTAAAAAAAAATGTGATTTTATAGGTATTTTTAAAACACAAGTCTAACATTCTTCAAATTAGTCAGCTTATCAAAAGTTTCTGTTCCACAAACTGAATGGCTGAACAGGAAAAAGTCTTGCAGATGGAAACACAGATACAGCTACAGAAGAGATATAAAAAATAATTTATTTGATTCATGGTCTCTTCCAACTTGTCCTCTTGTAGCTCGAGAAATGCTTGGCTGAGTGAAGTTCTGCAGTTCTTTATTTTGGAGAAACACCTATTTTGTTTTAAGAAATCAGGGCTTTCCTGTTTTCTCCATAAATCAGGGAGGTGAAGAAATCCTATTACTTTTCTTCCATCTACAGCCAAATAACAGCGTCTCTACTTGTATGAGTGTTATGACTAAAGTCAACAGTATAATGCACTCAAAGACCTGTTCTTTTCTGTAGCCAAGTACGTGTGCACTTGTTGTCACACAGCATCAAGCAGGAGATGCTGGGATCGCTGCTTTCAGCCAAAGCTTTAGAGGCCAGGGGGAGACGCTGGGGTAATAACACTAAACAGCTTCTGTGTGATTAAGTGTTAACCCCTGTGCTTGTTCCTTCTGCTGCTAGATATTAATGACACCTAGCCCTTGGAGCTCTGTTTTTCTGTTTCTGTCTGTTTTCACAAAAAGGAAATATAAAAAGCTGTGCACTTCAGCTGACCTTCACTTTGTGAGCCACTGAATGCATCCTTGTGCTATTCACCCCATTCTGTTGTAATCTTAATGCAATTTGTTAGAGAAAATAGAGCCTTCTTTTCACTACCTACCTGCACCAGACACCTGGCATTGGATGGGGAATACTCTAACTACCTCTCGGAGCAGATATAACTATCCAGTCTTTCCCCCACTGAAGTGTTCTGTGTCTCCATCAAAAGCAATCTCTTCATAAAACTAAATCCACTTTGTTCAGTCACTGAGGCAACTGCTCTCCAAAGCCAAATAGTTGTTGATAGTAGAGACTGACATCTTACTGCTGTTCTCTTTCAGAGTTTCTTTTCTCTGAAATACTATATGATTGTAATGGACATAAGGGTTTGTCAGAGGGCTGGATAAGTAGATCTACAGCAACACTTACCACCTGCACTTAGCCAGACTTGACTTTCAAGACTACAGTAAGCAAGAAGGTCAGGATGAAGGATGGGAAGGAAAAGCTTCTGAAGAGGCAAAAGCAGTGCTGAAGATGTTCCGTGTGTCTCTTGGTATACCTACCTGGCCTCCAAAACAAAACAGCTGGTAATAGAAAAAGGAGTAACCAAACAGTGAATGCATAAGCAGTATCTCATTGCAGCTTGTTTGATTTTACAGCATTTCTTCTACTCTAAAGTCAGGGATTCTGGGAATAGAAGGAGGCAAAATTCTAGAACAGAGTGTACGTAGCAAAAATAAATTGTGTCCTTTCATGATGCTATTATCAGATCTGCAAAACGGGACTCTAGAGAAGCTTCAGGCCAGATCCTCAGCTGCTGCAACCTGCACAAGTCCTCTACCCAGCAGAACCGTGCGGACTGAGGTGAGTTGCCCACACAGCCTGCCCTTCTTGTACCTAGTCGGCATGGTGCTGTCCTGCATAGCAGCAGACAGCCAAACTACACAAGTGCGAAAGCGAATGTTCATAGTATTTCTTTTCTCACATGATATTGGATCAAGATTTAGTTTTAGATGGACTCAGTCCAGAAACAGTAGTGACAAAAAGCCAACAACCTGTATCACCAGGCTGATAAATGTTTTTGCACTGTGTACACCAGTAATACATAAAGAAGCCAAATCCTTCAATTTAATACAGACCTGAGTAGCATGGTTTTTTTTTTCTGACTAAAGGCAACACAATTGTACAAAGACATTTGTGAAGATTTTTAGGACTGAGCTCTTTGGTAAAAGAAACTGTGTCATAAGAAAATATTATGGTATATAATCTTTTTGGGTCTGTACACCACTATCTTGCAAGCATTCAGAATTAATTGACTGGTATTGACCACACGTTAATACTGAATTGCAGAATTAGATTATTAAGAACTATGTTATCATCTCTTGTGATTCAAGCTGTTAGATAAAAATCATGGATACATGAGATTGAAAAAACATTGAGGTCCTACCTCCTCTGAGAAAGAATCAGCTCTGTGTAGCACATTCCTGAAAGCAGTTTGTCTTATTCTTCTAAAATTCCGATGATGGGAATTCTTTAAGAAACTTCCTAAATGCTGAGATATACTGAATAAATTATGATCTAACTTGTATCTCTTGCTGCAAATCAATTTACATCTTATTTTTTGTAGGCATGAAGACGACTTGATTTTGTCTCCAAGTCTTTTACATAGGTGAAGAGTGCTACCAAGTCATCACTCAGTTTCCTTTTTTTCTAGCTTAAATAAATTTCATCACCCCTTTTTCCTCTTCTCTAGTCATTTCACTTTTTTTCTTGTATTCCAAACTGGGCACACAACCCTAGTAATTAGTGCTGAGTAGTGCAGAGTAATTATCCTTATATTCACCAGAATCACATTTGTTCAGCTTATAGGGCAGTAAAGTCTTTGCTTTTTTCAGCAGTATTATACTGGTGACTCATCCTCAGCTCATGATTGACTGTAGGACCCAGAGCCTTGCCTCCAGTACTGCTGCCTAGCCAGCTATTCTCTGCTTTGCACCTCTGATTTGACTTTTCCCCTCCCCAAAAGGAGTCCTTTGCATTCTTTACTGAATTTGATCTTATTGATTTCAGACCATTTCACCAGTGTAGCAAGATTATTTTAAATTCTAATCCTGGTCACCAAAGTGCTCACAAACCCTTCCATCTTGATGTCATCCACAAATTTTACTCTGTACAAATCATTACTCTCATTCAAGTCATTAATGAAAGCATTGAGTAAAACTGACCCCTGACAGACCATTGTGGGACCTCACTTATAACATTCTCCTAGTTTTACAGTGAATCATTGATAATTATTCCTGACAAGTGAATGGTATTTCAACCACGTGTGCACCTAGAAGACTGCAGAGTGATTTTAGCCTGGCCTCATTTTATTTTTAGTAATGACATCCCGTGGGACTATATCAAAAGCTTTTAAAAAGCCTTACTCATATATACTATATATACCTCACCATATACCAGCTAGGTCTGGTGAGGTACCTGGTTTATGAACTATATCCTCCTAGCAATTTTGTGTAGCCAATACCCAACTGCCTGGCATTTACCTTACCTATATAGGCAGCAAATCACCTTGTCCTAAGAACACAGCAGTAGGGATTCAGCTGACCACCTTCACCCAGACATGGTCAGCGTTCAGGGAGGGATTCACCTCTATGCAGGATTCACTGTAACACTTGCCCAGTAAATCCAGCATCTGCAGAAAGGGGCGGACTTCTGCAGGCACGAAGTGTTTTGTGGGTACAAAGTTTCTGTAACAGAAGATTTAATACTGAATTGCAGAATTAGATTATTAAGGATTATATTACCTCTTGGGATTTAAGCTGTTAAATAAAAATCATGGGTACATGAGGTTGAAAGAAACTTTGAGGTCCTACCTCCTCTGGCACCTCCTGCAAGCCTCCCAGAGACATCATGTCACCAGCAGCAGTAGTGGCAGTGGTAGGTGCCCATGTTTTGTCCTAAAGAAGATGTCCTAGGCTGTTTGTCCTAAAGAAGATATTAGATCAGTTGAACAAGATTTGTTCTTCAAAAGTCTTCATGGCCTGACTATACTCTACATGTTTAGGAGCCAACTGCGTTTGTTTTAAAATGTATCTTAGTTCTAGCCTAACTAGAACTAGCCATTGAAAGTCCATATTTTCTCCTTTTTCTCCTTTTTAATGACAGGTGCTGTGTTTATCCACTGGGATTTTTCTCCTAGCAACTGTCAAAGATTACTATAAGTGCTTTCAAGACTGCTCCAGTGCATGCTAAGTTTCTGGTCACCATCACCTTGTTTGTGACTGAAACCCACTGAATATGTAAATCTTGCTGTCACCTGCTTTTCTTCTCCTCAGTAAACAGCAGACGTTCCTTCAGCCTTCCACTGTTTCTAATATCCTCTCATACTTGTCATTAGAATTTGTCCCCTGTGACCCCTTTTGTGCCTTTCTGCATCCTTCCTACCCAGGCACCCTTTGTCCCTGTACAGTTGCTTTTGTGTGATCCCAGTGTTGTTTACTTTAGAAGGTGAACCTGGTACCCTGGCAGTATGGTATTTCTATGGTGTCAGGACTTATTGCAGTCACAAGGATAGAAGGGAAGCTGTACAGTCACACAGTAGCTCCCTGTCACACAACGTAACGTACACAACTGACAAAGCAGTTTTGTCTTCTTCAGAGCCAACAGTAGATTACTTCACAGACATGTTATCCTCTTAAGACTGCATAGCTTCATATTCTCATCCTGCATGTTCCTGTGTTTGCAGTGCGGGCCAGTGTTGTTTCAAGGGTCTGCTCCCATAAAGAACTCTCCTTGTAACTATTTTAGATGGCGGGTATGGGTACACCTAGTTACCACAAGGACAGATCCCATGTTTCCCTTGAAGATCATGAAGCATTTACAAGGGACCCCATCCTCTCCTTTTGCAGGTAGAGGAACAGAAAGGAAAGGGCTGTGAAAAGGGCAGCACTCAGCTCAGGCCAGGTTAGGAACTGGGTTGCCAAATCCCCATCCCACATACTTGCCACAGCACCTCGTCTCCACAGATGAACCATTGACTTCCCTCAGTATTTGTAGATATCATGATGATGCATGTTTGACTTCACTTTTCATTTTTAAATGCTTCATACTATTTAGCCATTTAGCACAGACAGCAGCAACGTCCTAATGAAATTGAAGTCTCTGTAAAGCCCTATATTGCTTCATATTATCGTTATAATATCCAGCTTCTTTAAAGTTAAAGCTTTTGTATTTGCAAGACATAGAGCACAAGAGCACAGTAATACACAATGCACAACATTAATGCTAATAACAGTCATAAACTTGTATATACTGGCTGACAATAATTGTGTAGCACAATGTGTTCACTCTCTCAAAAGAAGACTGTCAGTGCTAGAGTGTATTATTTATCAAAGATAAAAAATAAAAAGGAATCAAACCTTTTACTGTTGTAACTGGTGATCTTTAGTTTCATCCTCTCAGACAACCTGAAATCCAAATGCTTAAAAGAATATAGTTCAGGGAAAAAATCGCTCTGCTTCCTGCCAACCACCTGCAGTATGCATTTGTCCATCTTTCGCTCTAAAACAGTTGTGTTACTCCCAGTTTCCCTCCAAGCCCATTATTTTCTCTGGGAGGCTGAACTCATATGGCAAGGGTTAGAGCAGCCCAGTGGAGCTCAGCTGAGCAGCAGTCACACAACAACAGCACTAAATTCAGGGAAGGCAGATGTTGCCTGGTTTCACCAGTTACAAGTAATGGCTATTAACACTTCCCACTGAAAAGGTTTGAAACTCCTAAAGTAGAATGAGCAATACTCCTAGAAGGTGCTTTAGAAGTGTTAGATGTCAGTCCCCCCAGTTTTCAAGCAAATAAATGTCTGTTGCAATATATTTCTAGTACAGCGTGACCTTTCTGAAAGGCTGAGAGGTCTTTCATTCAGAATAAATATTCAGAAATAATATATTCTTTTATTATTATTTTTATTATTCTTTTATTATTCTAATAAATATTCTTTTATTCAGAATACTGCTGCCCATCGTATTCTGAATAGAACTCACACATCTGTCACAAAGCTACTAATTTACTAACAGACTTCATCACAATTCTAACTTCCAGGTGATTAAGAAGCCTAGAGTTACACATGTAATCTGGTGTTAAATAGTCAATGCCATTTCTTGTAAAGAGTGAATAAATAATAATATTAATGAAAAAAATTACAATAAGCCAGTGTACAAGCGTTTTGTAGCTCTCTGCCAGCGCATTACCCAATAAAATCTTTTACTTCTATATAGAACAAACCCTATTTATTTTTGTGACATCTCAGTGTTAAGTGCTGGCAGATTTTTAGAGTGAAGTGTGGACTTTAATCTCTGTCCTGTAATGAGCCAAGGAAACTACTAACATACAATGTCAGTGTTTTTACTGTTATTACCTGTATTATGGCATTTCTGACAAGCAATGATGATGTATCCAGAAGTCCAGTTTGGACAATGTACTCAAATGGAACAAATTCAGTTTATTATTTGATTTCACAGGCACTTAATCGTACAAAACTATGCCTAGTTGGCACAGTGATAGATGAACTAGGGAAAGATTAGATTTGTTAACAGTGACATTAAGATTAGCACTGTCTAGTGTGATTCCTGCTCTCCTCACACTCTCTTAGACGTAGGAGGTGTGATCTTCTCTCATTCCTCAGCAACAGGGGGGATGTCACATTTGGAGCCCCAGAAGCTGACACCAAATGGTGAGAGAGATGCTTGGTCAAAATGTGTCGTTATCATGTCTGTCATCTTCACTATTAGAAAGCCATTTATGCTACCCAAGAGGAAACTGGCTACATATGGAAAACCTGAGAGGACTGCTATAGAGCACATAGTTTTTAATGTTATTAAATATAAAACGTAGGAAAGCTAGTAAGGGGGTGTGGTGGGTTGATCCTGGCAGGATGCCAGGTGCCTACCGAAGCTACTCTATCACTCCCCCTCCTCAGCTGGACAGGGGAAAGAAAATATAATGAAAAGCTCATCCCACAGTTTGAGATAAAGACAGGGAGAGATCACTCACCAATTACCATCATGGGCAAACCAGACTTGACTTGGGGAAATTAGTTTAATTTATTACCAATTAAATCAGAGTAGGAGTAATGGAAAATAAACCCAAATCTTCAAGATGCCTTCCCCTCACCCCTCCTTTCTTCCCAGACTCAGCTTCAAGTCCAAATTCTCTGCCCAGCAGTGAACGGGGACAAGGAATGGGGGCTGTGGACAGTTCCATCACATATTGTCTCTGCCACTCCTTACTCCTCAGAGGAGGGGTCCTCATGCTCTTCCACTGTCCAGCATGGGTCCCCCATGGGGTTACCAGTCCCTGCAACAAACCTGCTCCAGTGCGGGCTCCTCTCTCCATGGGGCCATGGGTCCTGCCAGGAGCACAGGCTTCCCATGGGGTCACAGCCTCCTTTGGGTATCCCCCTGCTCCAGTGTGGGGTCCTCTCCTGGCTGTAGGTGAAGATCTGCTCCACTGTAGACCTCCATGTGCTGCAGGGGCACAGCCTGCCTTGTCACGGTCTGCACCATGTGCTGCAAGGGAATATCTGCTCTGGTGCCTGGAGCACCTCCTACCCCTCCTTCTGCATTGACCTTGGTACCTGCATGGCTGCTGGTCTCACGTATTCTCAATCCTCTCTTCTAGCTGCAATTGCTTCTGCACAGTAACATTTTCTCCTTCTTAAATATATTATCCCAGAGGTGCTACCACTGTCACTGGCTCAGCTATTGGACACTGGGGAAGCTTCTAGCAGCTTCTCACAGAAGCCAGCCCTGCTGTCCCTTCCCCTAACCAAAAAACTTACCACGCAAACACAATACAAGGGTTTCTAAAAACCTTCATGAATAGCTGCCTGGAAGGAAGAACTGGTCAACATGTGACAGGACAGGGTGCTTAGAAGGTGCAATGGAAAGAAGGGTCAAGAGTGCAGGAATTACTTTGAACTTCAAACAAAACCACTGCTGGTGACACCCGAGACACTTCCCTTGCGCTGGAAGGGAACACAAGTCACAGTGTAAGTGCAAATTAGATTCATTTTTTAATGGATGAGACATCTTAAAAACTCAAGGTAAAAGGTGACAGGGCAGCTAAGGAAGAACCTGTTAAGTTTGTCCTGGAATTACAATTTAAGTTTAAATAACTCAAGGTCATTCTCAGTTTCCAGCTTTGTAATTTTGCTTGACCTTACACCTGGCTGGAATGAACCTTTAATTTGATTAATGTTTGCACTTGACTAGTGTTGATGACAAGCCCAGGTGAAGCCAACCACCTTCGGAGTATTTTCTATCTTGTGAGATAATCCAAATGTATCCACATAAAGGGGCACGAAGAAGCAGCTTCTAGAGGAATGGCTGCCCAAGATATGTAAAAAGGATCTGCAAATGGAGTGCGTTGCTTTGCAGGTAGAAGAATTAATGAGGGGACAAGAGTTCTCATGTATTTGATTGCAGAAAGAAGCCTGCTCTGGTAGAGACAGGCCAATGCCTCTCCTGCAAGGAACAGATGTCCAAAATGTATTTCACAGTTGCAGGCAATACTTAAGATTGTCCTTTAACAACTTTGCAATTTGTACCATCCGTATCTCCATGAGACTGGCCACAAGTGGGATTTTCACACAGCAGAGGCTTCCAGTTTGGTTTTCATTTAAATTCTTAGCCATTTCAAATAAACCAAACAAAACCTTTTTATTTCCTGCAAACTGGACATTTGAGAAAAACTTCACTTAAAATACACTAATATATGGTGCACCTTCAACAAAATAACCTTTTTGGTGTGTCACCAGTTCCATCAGGTCTCTGTCTGAAGACTGCTAACAATACCTAGAGCAACAAACAGTACTGATGTCCTGTTCCTGCAGTGCTCTGCCAGGAACCAAAGCACTGTTCTATGGGAATTCTGCCTTCTATGTGACAACAGTTTGTTGACATGGCCTGCTAACTCTAGTCTCACTCCCCCTTGAAAACATTACTTCTCCTGCCATGCAAATACTGTCACAGCCAGGTCTGACAACCATTCAGGCTTCAGCCACTTATCCTTGGAAGGGCATGTTCTAGGGCATGAAGGATTACAGTTTATTGTGGTGAAGCTGCCTATAAGTGCAACTAATTTAGTGCCCTGTTAAAACAGTGATGAATTTAGCCCATAATTTCAAGAAATGAAGCAACACTTCCTGACAAAACCTCAAAAGCTACAATTTATGGTAGCCCTCCCAGTTAACAACTCAGTGAACTATGAACATCCTCAGCCCCATTAACATCTTAACTAGATCCCTATTGAACATTAAGGTCTCCTGGTATATTCTCTTGTGAGACAGAAACTGAGATTTTTAAGGACAGGTTCTCCTGTGATCTGTTCTCCTTCATGTGTCACTCCTTTTCAGTAGGGTTACTGTCACTGAAACCCAAGTCTTCCCTTACCTCTTCATGACACTGACAGAATCCCTTGTTGCAGTCTCACTCATTTCATCCTCTATGACACTGCCTTTCCCCTGTATTTTTCTACTATACTCTGGCAAAATAATCAACCTCCCCAGCTGACATCATGTGCAGACATGCAGACTTCCCTGCTGGCTTTCCATCACCCACCGCACCTACTTTCACATTCCCATTTCAATGGGAAATGTCCTCCACGACCTCACACCTTACTTCAGCTGTTGTGTCACCTCTTACACCTTCCATCTCTCCCACATTCCCAGTGCATCTTACCAAGCCAGAAAGTACTATTGGGCTGCTCATATCTACTATGCCTGAATCACATTCTCGTCCTCTTCTCACCTCTTTCCCACTGCTTCAGCATCATGAGGAAGCCAGTAAAGCAGTGTAACAGGGCATCTGTGTGAGACTCCAGCATTGCCTATGCGATGTGTTTCTCCCATGCTCAACGCCTCAGACTGCTCTTTAAATGAGGATTATTAGATTTTAAAATATTTGCATGCAGGTAGCAGTGTAATGCCTCAGCTATCTAATATGGCACACTTGAACCTCCAACACCATTAAATCTCCTCCCTTTTCACTTTTCTACTTATTTTCTCCAGTCAGAGCTGGGTTCTCCTCAGGTTGTTTTCAGATCAGACCCAAAATAGGACCGATACAGCAGCATCCCAAAAGCTGTCAGACCTCCTGACACCATGTGATGGGCTGGACTCAGACCCTTAAGCATTACACAAGCTCAAGGTTGAGTACCATAGCTAAAGTTGTACACACTGTTAACTGTTTTCACAAGTGGATGGGAGAAATCCGTGAAAGCTGGAGAGAAAGAAACCCTCCCAACTTCAAAATGTTGTTGTATTTCTAATGCAGATGGTCATGTCTTATTTTCAGGTAACACACGATGGATGAAAGGAAACATTAAGCTGTTTCTCTGAAAGGTGCCTAATTTTCCTCTCAGTTAGCTGTGCATCAAACCTACACGGTTAATCCCTATGGTTTATCTTACCAGATAGAAAAAAAATGGGTCACAGAACTTCAGCACTGGAGACATTCGATTCCTTCGCCAAACAGGAATATGTCGATTTTGAGAGCAGTGGGATGAGCAGCAGCGTTTGCTATCCGTCGCTTCCTACACCCGATGAGCTCAGAGGGCTCCTCACACGCCAACCTCTGCTCCCCGGCAGCCAGCCAACCCTGCTACAGCTGGGCACGTACACAGCCCGCTACACCTGCAGACCCCTACAGCGAAGGAAAGGCTTTGGCCGTGCCTTAAACACTAGGTTCTTTCCCCAGTACATCATCACATCGCATGCGAAGGGGCTTAAGTTGCAGTCCCGCAGCTCCAGCGCCGGGCTTGCGGGACCTATGTGTGGGAGAAGGATAGCCCCGGGTCCTAAGGGCTCCTCCAGCCTGAATGCAGCCGGCAAGGCCGAACCAGTCACACACCCAGCCAGCCAGGGCGGCCCAGCTCCGAGCGTGCAGGTGTCTCGCTCTACGGGCATTCAGACGGGCCGGTTCCCCCAGCCTCCCCCGGCCCGCCCCGCCCCGCCCCGCCCCAGGAGAAGCCCCGCCCCTCCCCGGTAGAACAGGATGACATCATCCCTCCCCACTGGCTCGCCGCGCGGCTCCTCCGGCCCGCCACCACCCCGGGAGGAAGGGGGGGGTTGTCCCCGCACCCCCCTCTGGAACCCGCGTCCCGGCGGACAGCCCGGGGCACCGGGGACGCCGGCTGCTACTCCCCGTCCCGCCGCCCAGCCTCGCCCCTAACCCCACACCCCACTACGTCATCCCTCCCTCTCCCCCGCGCGCGCGGCGCTGCTGGCGGGGAAGCGTCCCTCGAGGGGAGCGCCGGGGCCGGGCAGCGGCTTCGCGGCGGCTTCACCCGCCGAAGCGCGCCTGCGCAGAAGCGGCGCGCCGGCGCGGTGTGGCGGCTGCGCGTGCGCAACTCGGGGGGGGCGGACGCGGCGGGCGGGCGGCGGGGCAGCTCCTGCGCTGACACCTGCAGCATGTGCCAGGAGCTGCAGCGGCAGCGGCCGCCTCTGCCTCTGCGCGGCGCGGCCGCCCCGCTCCGGCGCCGTGCGCGGCGGCGGCGGTGGTGGCGGCGGAGGAGCAACTCCCGCTCCCGGCGTCCCTCCTCCTCCTGCCTGGCACCGTGTGCCGGCGGGTGCACGGTGACCTTACGGAGCGTGCATTACCTCACAGGTAAATATCAGCTGATCCGCCCCAGCGGCAGCGGCGGGAGCCAGGCGGCCGGAGCCCACAGAGCGTTCCTGAGGTAGCGATCTCGGGTGTGTGGTGCCGGGCAGGGGACGCCGCCTGTTGCCGTTTACCTGTGGGGGGCAGCTGGCGGGGGGGCGCACGGGGTTACCCCCTCGGCACAACGGGGGCGCCTGTGGTGTGGGGCGGCCTCGGCGGGGGGGACGATGACGGGTGGGGACCCCTGGGCCGGGCCCCCCCCTCCCCGTTGTCGTCTTGCTCTCCGTGTCTGCCCCCGGTGGGGTCGTAATAAGGTCCCGTTTATCCTCAGGGCGGGTTCCAGCCCTGGCAGGTGCGTGAGTGTCTGTCTTACAGTGACCCACCCAGACTCACCATGCAGCAGGTCTATGGGTCTGTTGGCATGGAGAGGGAACCTGGTGGGTAGTGGCGGTCCCCTGCTATGGCTGGCTGAGGGAAAAGGGGTGAAAGGATGCCCATAATGCAGAAGTGTTGCCTTTACCGGTGTGTTCACTGGCTTATTGGCAAAGTTTGGTAGTTGGTGGTGAAAATCGCAGTTGTCACAGCCAAACTAGCTTCTACTACCCATGCTGAGGAGTAGCTACCACTACTACCAGTAGCTACCAGTAGCATGTAGTGATAGGACACGAGCAAATGGTTTAGAATTGGAAAAGGGTAAGCAACCTGGGAGGTGTCTGTGCACGTGGCAGGGGGGTTGGAACTAGATGATTTTAAGGTACTTTCCAACCCAAACCATTCTGTGATTCTCTAAGAAGTTCTTTACTAAGAGGTGGTGAGGCACTGGCACAGGTTGCCCAGGGAAGCTGTGACTGCCCTATCCCTGGCAGTGTTCAAGGCCAGGTTGAATGGGGCTTGAAGCAACCTGGTCTAGTGGAAGGTGTCCCTGCTCATGGCAGGGGGGTTGGAACTGGGGGAGCTTTAAGGTCTCTTCCAACCTGAACCATTCCATGATTCTGTGGAAATGAGGCATTTCTGACAGCTGTGGTAGTCAGCTGAGCCTGGTACTTATTCACTGGATCCCATTGTCAGCATTGGTGATCTTTTAGATAGTACCTTAAACATTGCTGGAAGTCAGTGTCATCTGTTAATCTTTGATGGTTCCTGGTGTCTCGGATGTTAAAATGAGAGGTTCACCAATTAAGAAGCAGTATCACAAAGTTGGTGCTTGTGGGCTTTCAATACATTTTGTTATGTTCAAAGTTTTGTAACTTAGTCTTCACTTCTGAATGCCATACCTCTACTCCTCCTCTTCTTGGTGGGGTATAGTAGTAGTTTAATAATAATGGGGGGATAATGGCATAGATTCTATGATTTAAACCTAGTATAGTTATGGAGCTGTTTCTGTAACTTTTACCTGAGCACTAGGTTGTCTCTGCACCTATGATCACACACATGACTGGGCACATATTCACTAATAAAATGGTGGCAAGTAGAGAGTAGTGAGTGCAACATTTTTAATTCATGCTGTTTTCTGGTTGTCAAAGAGTAAGTGAGCATGAGATGAAAGCCAGTGCCATGTCTATTTTAAGTCCATGTCTTTATATTGCTCCTCAAAAGAGAATGATCCTACTGACACATTTTTGGGTTTCACCCTACTCTTGCAATTACCATTCAAGTTCCTGTATTTATTCAAAGTCAGTATATAATGCAACAGACATTTCTGTGGGTTTATCTGGACTTTAGTTTTTTCTTTATCAGAAGGTGAAGTTAAAATTCAAAGAACTGAATGCTTAAAAATAAATCTTTCTGTCCTATAAAAAGTCACACATAAAATACCAGCTCCTGACTTGACCTCTCAATGAGCTATAACTGTAATCAGAATGAGGTGCTGTAGTCTTGCAGTGGTAGTAGTAAATACAAAATTACGTATGTGTGCACACTGTTATCATGGGCAAGTGAATAATTCATGAATGTAATGCTCAGTATATGAGGCTCCCCAATGGTGTGTAATCATTTCCACACACAGTTTTCTGTGTGTTGCTGGTTGTGTGCACCAGTGCCCAGTATGGCACTGAAGGATGGCGCTAAGTCATGCAGGCACAGCCACATAGTTTCAGGTCTCTCTGGGAAGTACCCCATGAGCCACTCCTGAAGACAAATGTACATGTGCTCTCTGTGTGCTGGGGTAGCCTACTGATCCCATAACTAAGAAAATGGAAAGAAAGCACAATGTACATTATGATAAGCTCCAGGATAGCAATCCATTGTGGTTTAGAGGAAAATGAAAGATAGATTTTTCTGTTTTGTTTGGCTTTTGAAGCTTTAGTCTTTCATTAATGATTTCTTTGATTTCTGTAGTTGTACACTGTCAGAGACTGTAGGATAGTTTATCTCCTCCTATCATTTTTTGCCCTGTGTAAGCCTATTCAGAATTGCCTATAAGGGTCAGCACTGATCTGTCTAACTTCCATGCCAGGTAAATAATCAGATATAATTGCACTAAAATCAATGAATATATACTGACATGAAACTGTGAGAAGAAAATCAGCCTCATAGTGTTTTGTACTTGTATAGCTGAAAGCCAAAAATAGCTATCATAAACACAACGTGTCCTTTCAGAAGGAATAGTCAATGCCTATCTTACAGTTGTCCAAAAAGTTTCTTCTATTTCAGCAGCTTTGGGTTAGGAAATTGAAGGCAGCAATCTTGGAATGAGAACATAATCGGAGAAACTTTTTGTTCCAGTAACTAATCTCCTTCTCCTTAATTCTGTGCTGTTAATCTTAGCGTGCACATACCCACACTATTAACATTTGGCAAGGACTGTTTTCTTAAACAGGGACCCTTAAGCGTGTTGCCAAATACACAGGGTTAATTCTAATGACTGTGTTTTAAACTGCTGCTCTTTAATTATATATGTTCCTATCCTAGGCATAACAGCAAAATGTAAGTGGTATGGAATGTTACATTCCAATTAGTTTTGATGTGCAAATGGGAATTAGAGTTGATGGGTAAGCCTGACATGTACTGCATGACTTGTCATGTTTTTCCTGGAGAGAGGGGAGTCTTGGGACTGAGTCACCAATGAAGAACATGGAGCCCCGCAGGCACAGAACTGGTGCAATGGAGTGATGAGTCAGACCTTTTATCTTCAAATTCGGTATTAGGTGGTATTCATGCATGGGGTGCATTGCACTCATTGTGTACCTAGGCAAGTAACTAGCACAGAAAAACAGTCCTCTGACTCTGGGACACTTTTTCTTGGCAGAGGTGGTCCTGCTTCTATTGAGATGAAAGGGTGTTGGTTAAGATTGTGTAGGAAATCACGGTGTATTAGCTTGCTGATCAAATCAGGTCTGCCAGGCAATATACATCCATTTCTTACATTGTTTCAAATCCAGTAGTAGTATGACACATTACTTACATTTTCAATTCTTGCATTGTAGATCTGTACCAGCTTTTTCACACTTCTGAAACCAGATAGAGTAGAGGAGGAAGAGCAGTGTTCATATGCCCCAATATGTGTGTAAACAATATGTCTTTTGGGAGTGTTGCTGTGGAATGACAGTATTGTTTCTGATCCCAGAGGAAGTTGATGTTATTGCTAAGCTAACGAAAATAGTTGAAATTTCGTAGAAGTGGTAGCCTCAGAAATATGTTAAACAGCGAGAGTGAAGGTGGCTCACTCAGCTGTTTCCAGAAACAAAACAAAGCCTTACATCAGAGATGTCTTCACTTAGTCACTTAGCCTGAAATTTCTTGAATAGCGATCATTAATAACACCATATCTTCTCAGGCTCACAGAGCATGAAAGTTCCTTGATTTATAATCGTTTGGGAGCAGGTGCTCAAAATTGTGTCCACTTGCACAAAGAGCACAAGTGTGACACTTCTGCTGAAAATGGAGTGGGCACATACAGGGGTCAATTGTGTGTGTGGCAATTGGAATGGCCTGTAAGAGTGTAATGAAACAGCTCCCTATCCTACATCATTAGAGAAGCTACTAAAGAGACTGTGTTTGGAAAAACATGAGGATTTTATCTGAAAGTTTTAGCAGAAGGTTATTAATCTGTATATTTTAAAATCTTGTGAACTGTAAAAAGTCACCATTTTGTGATCACCACAGATATTAGTGTTGGTTGGGGATGGGGGGTGGTGTTAATGGTCTCGCAAAAAAAGCGTCTGCCTTCTTACATTGCCTTAAATTGGAAAACTTACAATGAAGACACATTGGAAGTGCAGGAAAGATGTGCCAATTTAGGTCTAAATCATCCCAATTCCAATTAAAGTGTAAATGATTTTATTTGTTTTTATGTTAGGTATACCTGTTGTATTCTCTAGATGTCTAGATGTCTAGATATCTAGAATATCATCTGTGAAGAAATCAACACAGGCAGGGTTTAGCAGTTGTGGCAACTGAAATGAAATGCCAAACCACTTGGAGGAACTTGGAAATTTCAGTGGTCTTTGTGTCCTGGTGTGGAGATCCACAAACCTGAGACTAGTTGCACTAATGAAGAAAGTAATGCCAGAACTGGAAATCTCCAGAGAAACCCATCTCAGCTCTAGAGAGATGGATATCTAAGAAAAGCTTTCAAGTACTACCTCTTGTTTGGATTTAGTTACCACGGAACTGGAATGCCATGAAGTCACAAGGTGATATCATGCCCCCTAGAAATCAATATTATTTTGCTACTGACTTCAGTAGAGCCAGGGTTTTGCCGTGCTGCTTATTAAGGTGATGGCTTGGCTTCATGAGCAAAGATTTGGGAAGGGCTTTAACCACGCTTACTACAAGTACGATGACCAAATCTAGCTGGAAAAAAGGGTGCTTAGGCAATCAGGAAGTGTCTGACCACAACTGTCAGCTCCTGAGCTAACTCAGGCTACCCAATGCGCTGGTCCGCCCACATGCAGCGTTGGATCTGCAGCTTCCCATGCGCCTTGTCATCTACCGTTTAGACCCTTGCCCGTCCATAAAGACAAGTGACAGTAAGCCCTTCCAGCCTGCGCAGTGGATTTTTTAGGTGAAGCGCAGCTAGCACAGAAGCTTATTAAGGCAGGACTGAAATGTATGGGGCTAAATCTTTCTTTCATTTATGATGACATAAATCCAGTCCCAGTGTATTTTCATCCTAACAGTGAAGAGAGAAAGAGATCACAACTGTATCAGCTGTCCATGGCATATACACAACTGCTGCTAGAGCATGCAATTATTTTATGATCTTCCTGTATGCTATGCAAAACCTTTACCATTAAACGTGTGACATCATCTTCTCCTCCTGTAACCACTATATTTATCATGGGTATGTGAGAAGTTAATGCTGACAGTTCACATACCTGTGCGTATGCCACAAAGATCCAGAGGGAAATCCTGAGCTGTATCTTTTATTGTACAGAGGCTGCATTTGTATGAGGATGCTCTGTATAAGCAGAACGGCCTGCAAAGGGAAATACAGAGATTTTTGTAACTATTCAAAAGAGATTACAACTTAAAAGAATTCCATCCTATAATGTACAAAGTACAAAAATAAAGGCTCTTTTCAGTTAAATCCTCTACCAGATTGATGTCAAGAAGCCATGCAATATCTCAAATGATTTGGGATTTTTTAATCTTCTTAGCTAGAAGAGATGTCAGAAGAGC